TTTTTTTTTTTTTGAATTTTTAGCTTTTTTTTGGCTTTTTAATTGTTTGGAAAAAAAATCTCAGCAATCGAAAAAAAAGAAACTAGAAAAAAATTTGTTGTTGTTGTTGTTTTTGATTTATTTGTTGCTTTTCAGTTGAAATTGGTAGATGGATTATTGTATCTTTTTTTTGGGCTTATTTCTTCCCACCACCAGTTCACTTTCTCTAATTTTGCTCCTTCTTAAGGTTCTTGTGCTTGGGCCGCTGTTAAATTGGTGTTGTTATAAGTAGTGCTGATTACAGTGAGGAATTCTGATGGGAGAAAAAAAAAGAGGGAGGTACTAAATAATGTGTGATCAAAAAGAAGAAAAATAAGGGTTGAAGTTGAGGAAGGAAAAAAATTGTTTTTATACTTTTTTTTTCTGTTGAAAAGTAGTTTTTTTTCTTTTTTTTGGAGGAATGATGGTGATGATGACGGTGATCGGTATGTAAGCATTGAGCTAAAGAAAGGAATAATTTATTAAGGAAGAGAAAAATTAATTTTTTTTTTTGCTCTTCTGTTTAAAATGATTCCTAGCAAATGGATGGTGTTTGTTGGCTACAGTTGGTGCTGTTGGTGGTGCCGTTGATAATGCCAAACATCTCACTAAGCAAAAAAACCTCTTTTTGCTTCCAACGTTTTTGAATGCAAATTTGGAGCAGGAATTTGTTGTTGCTACTGTTGCTGTTGTTGTTTGGTACTAAGAAAGCAACAGCATTAATAGGGGCTGTTTAGACCGAACAAGTTTAGTAATCAAATGCTACAAATACTGCTGTAAGGAAGCGGCAGTGACGATAGTGCTAAGAGATCAGTGGAATGGGAGGGTGGAAACAATGATCGGTTAGTTTTGGTTACACCCTGTTTTATGTTTGATTGAAAAGTTGATCAAACAAAGTTTTATAATTCTGTTTTGTTTATTGGGTGAGGTAAAGAGCAAAAAAAAAAAATTACATTTGAATAGAAAAAGTATAGAAAGTTTTTAATATTTTGAAAAGTGAAAACTTTTTGAACAAATAAGCGAAACAAAAAAAAAACCTGTTGTTTTATACTGTCTCGTTGCGTTTCTTTTGATTTTTTAGGAGAAAAGAAGTACGTATTTTAAGTTTTGAGTTTCTTTCTTTTTCTTCTTTTTTTTTCGAAGAGGTCGTCTAACAAAACAATGGTTTTATCAAATGTATCGATTCCTTTCTTTTTTAAACTTATCATCGTCGTCTGTTGTCATCGGAAATATCGGTGTCGGTTTGATCAATTTTTTGTTATTTTTTGTCTCAGAAGCATATATTTTGATGTTGTATTGTAACACTGGGGAAATCGAATAGGCAAAGACAGAAGGAAGTTTTTTTTTAAATGTTTCTTTTATTTGCTTTTTTTTTACTTCTTACTGAATCTATTTGTTTGGCTGTGTTTAGTGGTATGTTAACTGAAATTTCTGATGCATCTGTTAAGTGGTGGATAATCAATGGTTTAAAAACTGTTCTTTAATTTGTGCTTCTTTTGAAAGCATTTTTTTCTTGGCGGAGGAAGGGTGACTGAGCAGAGTCGGTCAAGTAGTAAGGGTGTAACAACAGTTAGCTAAATTCAGTCTTTTTACAGCAGGAAAGCTAACCATTTTAATGAGACAATTGAACGAGAGAGAAGAAGAGAAAAAAGAAAGATAAAAGTAAGAAGTTTTGAATAAGCAATGTGAATTGTAAATGGAACAATTATAATGAAAAATAATGAGAGATAAGTTTTTGATAACAAAGTATGTATAAGATGGTTAAGTATAGTTCAGTAAGCAAAATGGAACTTAATTTAACTGTTTATTAACTAGTTATTTATTGACGAGATGAAAAATTGTTGTCGAAAACGAGGAAAGGGAGAAGTTTTTATTTTTTGAATAAATATTTTTTATTGCTGTAAATTGTTGATGTATTTAGCTGTTTACAAATACCGCT